AGCCACTCTGTCAGAGAAAGATGAGGTTTTCTGGTTCCATAAAGATTTACAATGTTGGAAACACTATATAGGGTTGCTATGAATCAGAACCAACTTTACGGCACATCACCACCACTTCATAAGAGCATGGCATTTCCATATGGTGGAATATTTTTAACTTGATGAATGTTGGAAAATGTGCATAATATTCTCTTATGTGAAAGGAGGAAACTTTGCATTTGGACTTTCTGTTCAGGAATTCTATTATTTTATTTATAAGAGAAAATGATAATATAAAGAAAATATAAACAATGATTAATAATAGCACTGTTTATTAATATTTTAAGTAGTAGGGTTGGAAAAAATTCCAGAGGATCTAACATGTAGAAATGACAAAAATGCAACACAATTAAGGAACTTCCAACAATTGAAATGGTTTTCTTTCCAATTAGAGAATTGTGCACTGAGCAGTCTGCAAGAGCAGCTCTGGGGTATATGGAAAGGATGATTGCTTTAGGCTACAGGGAAGCACTAAGCAGTGATACTTATCCTAGAGTGTATATCAGCATCCCTTGGAGGATTCATTAGAGCACAAATTACTGGCTCCATGCCCAGAGATTCCTATTCAATACATCTCCTTTGGGGCCCAAGATTAAACATTTTTTAACAAATTCTTAGGTGAAGCAAATGTGCTGGTCCAAGTCCCACAGTTTGAGACCCATTGAACTAGAAGTTGGTTTCCCTAGAAGTATTTGTAACTACAATTTGTCAGCAAAGAGAATCAAGTAAGCCAAAATAAATGACCTCATGAGTTAGTTGCTTGGGTTCAGATTAAGGATATTGTTAACATTCTGGGGATTACCTATTTGGAACTAATTTTTTGTTGCTTTTTCCTTATTCTGGGCAAAATCAGCAGCCTCATGGAAATAAGAAACCAAACAAGAGTTGAAAGCTTTTTCCTTCTTGGATTTGCAGAGGAAATGGACCTGAAGCCCCTCCTTCTTGGGCTATTCCTGTCCATGTACCTGGTAACCTTCACTGGAAATCTGCTTATTATCCTGGCCATCATTTCAGACTCCTGTCTCCACACTCCAATGTACTTCTTCCTCTCCAATCTGTCATTTGCTGACATCTGTTTCACTTCCACCACCATACCAAAGATGCTGCTGAACATGCAGACACAGAACAAAGCTATCACCTATGCCGGCTGCCTCACCCAAATTTTTTTTTTCATTGCTTTTGGATGCCTGGACAATTTACTCCTGACTTCAATGGCCTATGATCGATTTGTGGCTATCTGCCACCCCCTGCACTACACAGTCATCATGAACCCCCAGCTCTGTGGACTGCTAGCTCTGGGGTCCTGGTGCCTCAGTGTCATAGGCTCCCTGCTGGAGACTTTGACAACTTTGAGGCTGTCCTTCTGCACACCGATGGACATTCCCCATTTTTTTTGTGATCTTCCTGAAGTCCTGAAGCTCGCCTGTTCTAACACCCTCATCAACAACATAGTAGTGTACTTTGTGACTATTGTCCTGGCTGTTTTTCCTTTCTCTGGGATCATCTTCTCTTATTCTCAGATTGTCTCTTCCATACTGAGAATGTCATCAGCTGGGAACAAGTACAAAGCCTTTTCAACCTGTGGTTCTCATCTCTCAGTTGTCTCCTTGTTTTATGGCACAGGACTTGGGGTCTACCTCAGCTCTGCAGTCACATCATTCTCTAGGACAAGTCTGATAGCCTCAGTAATGTACACCATGGTAACACCCATGCTGAACCCCTTCATCTACAGTCTGAGGAACAGGGATATAAAGAGGGCCCTGGGGATACTCCTCAACAAGACAGTCACCTCTCAGTGATGGATCTACAGAAGGGCTATTATGAAGAGCTGAGCTCACAATAGTGAGGACCAGAAATCCTGGCTTGTCTGATTCTACATATTTTAAACTTTCTCCTTGGATCTTCCTTAGGAGCTTTTCTTACCCTCTCTACTGTTCATAAAGTGACATAACGGATCCTCCCTTTTTCATTTTCTAATTAGTCACTTGAACTTTGTGTGACTAGAACATGGCCTCTTCTTTTTAACTCAAGTAATAATTTGTACTTTAAAATAAAAAATAAACCTTATTACACAATAGAGAGAGGGTCTATTGATGGGATGTAAAGGTATACTTATTTTGGAAATGATGCCCTAAAAATTAATTTGCATGGATACTTTCTGAATTTATGTGAAAGAAATCAACAAAAACGTTTCTCCGTTTTCAATCGAATCACTTTACTGTCAGTCACATCAACTTTAAGGATTTTTTTTTACTCATAAATTTCTTAAATTTCAGGAGCGTAGTTTATCTTACACTGTAATCACACTGCCCAGGATAGTCCTGAGTTGGAGTTCATTCCTAGTGAAACTTTGTTGAATGGGATAACACTTAAGTGAGCAAATGGAAGTCTGGATCACAAATTTACAAATGTGTTGGATTAATAAAAACTTTTGAGCTTGAAAAAAAGTTCAATGTTACCAAATAATAATGACAAGACTTCATATATGCTAGCATTAATATAGTATTTCATATACATTTTTTCATTTACTATCAATAGTATCATTATCTCTGAGTTACA